AAAAAAAAAAAAAAGAAAGAAAGAAAAGATTAAATATTACTAAATGTTAAAGTAGATGTGTCCACAGGTAGAGGACTTACCACGTGGACTTGAACAGAAGAGGCTAAGGAGGAGAAGGCAGAGAAATTAGGGGTGCTGCATGAAGTTATTGCATAGCTGTTTCCCATGTGTCTCTGAAACATGCATGAAGACTTTAATATTTTTATATGTGAAGGATGACACTGTAATAAGCAGAACAAAACTTAAGATCTAATCTTTGCCACTAAAGAGCTTCCGTATGCTATAAGGAGTGCCAATAAGAGGTGTGAGCTTACAATATTGTGGCGATACATTTATTGTACTGAGGGATTTCCTGGTAGGAGTCAAAGAGAAAGAAACACATCAAGAGGCATCAACAGGATCTGTAAACTGTATTTAATAAACACTGACTGGACACACCAGATACAAAAGAAGTACGATGCAGACAGTAAGTATTTGAAGAAATTAAATACAAACATTAATTTTTATCACTAATCCTAACTACTAGAGAAGTACAAAATTTGTACAAGTTATACTTTATAATGAAATTTTGATACCTGTCAAAAGGATGAAAACCTAGACACATACTGCAATAAAAATTTTTTAAAATTGTGCTTAACATCAGAATTTCCCTAAAATAGGTTGGCAAAATATCCATACAACATCTATTCTTCCACACATATATTCTCCATCAAGGATTTCCTGAATGGTACAAATACTCTGAGCCCACCACTGAGCAATCAATCCATGGTTGGCAACGGAATATAAAACCCTCCCGGCAACACCATGACGTTTGTGTTAGGTCCACTTCTCCATGAACGTCCACCTTCTTTTCAGTCTGGCTTACTGTAAAGTTCTCTTCAGAACTGTTTATATGTCTTTTGTCTGATCATCTTCTTCTAGTTTCCTGATTTCATTTTTTAAACAATTTATAGTTTCACGACTTGCTTTTAATCTCTCTTTAAGCTCTGCAATTTCAAAGCTTGTTTTTTTCTTGGCAGCTTCTAATTTTTCTCTGGTTTTCACTTCAAGTTCTGCAACTAGGAAAAACAAATACTTTTATGAATTATTTAATTTTTCTCACGTCTAAGATGACACAGCATAATAAATATGCCATTTCCTTAGTCAATGTCTCCATGACGAAATGTGGACAATTTAAGATCCATAACATTAAACGTGGGCTGGTGAGGAGTGGGGAAAAAAAACTCTACTTTGTCATCCTCAATAGAGTGCTATGGTGTCATAGCTCACAGCAACCTCAAACTCTTGGGCTTAAAAGATCCTCATGCCTCAGACCCCTGAGTAGCTGAGACTACAGGAGTCCATCACAACCCTTGGCTATTTTTAGAGATGAGGTCTCACTGTTGCTCAAGCTGGTCTTGAATTCCTGACCTCAAGGGATCCTCCAACCTTGGCCTTCCAGAGTGCTAGGCTTACAGACATGAGCCACTGCACCCAGCTGGGAAAATAGTTTTTGAATTCCCAAGAGAAATCTAAGATGTTTTGTACAACTAAGAATGAGGTTCTGGTGACTAACTCACAATTAAGACTTCAAGTCATGATGTCCTAGTTTTTCACCACATACATATTAATCTGAAAATAAGGGGGCATACATATTGAAGAGACATCAGCTAATAGGAGAGCTGACTAAAAGTATTCTTAAATTGATGTTTAGGTGAAACTTACAAAAACAAAATCACACTATCAAAATAAGACCATATCTTCTTTTCCAAAAAATGTAGCATTAACCACCCAAGTTTGAATTCCAGCTATACTACTTACTACCTGTGACACTCTAAGTTATTTCATTTATGTTCATTTCCTCATTTATAAAACAGAGATTATCCTGGCAAACACCTCATATTATTTCTTGAGGCTATTTTACATGAATTAATGTATATAATATAACCAGAATACTGTCTGGTACATAAAAAAAAAAGCCCTATCAACTATTATTATGACAACAGAGGAACATTAAATGATACTTGAAACACTGTATGCTACAAATTACTAAAGAAAATGTCATTACTATAAAATAGAATACAAAGATTTAAATATGCTGCTTGAATATGTAGCAGCATGTTTTACAAAGACAAATGCCTGCTTGAATCCAACATTTCCATCTTGTGGTCATTTTAGGTAATTGCTGCTGCTATTAAAGTAAATACTTTTTTTAGATGGTCACTAGCTGAAAGCAGGATGGTTTGGCGGAAAAAAGCCAACTTTAAAATCAGAAAGACTTTTACTCTGTACAATCAGCACTTAAAAATTAAAAAAAAAAAAGAAAGAAAGAAAGAAAGGAAATCAGAAAGCAGAAAGACTTGAGTTCAAATAAGCCCTTAGTCCCTTTTAGCTGAACGCTGACATCTTTTAAGTCTCCCTTAATCTCTTCCTTTATGAGATATGGTTAAAACTAGATATTTCTCAGAGGATTCCTGATGACTAAGTGAAATAATTACATGTAAAGCATCAAGTAAGTAAAAAATATGCAATGAACATTAGTGAGTACTTTCCTTATTATGCTCAGGGCCAGCAACTTGCTTTTTGTGATATATTTTTGTAACACAAATATTATGTTGCCAAAACAACCCATATTTTTTCTTTGAAATTTCTTTCATTGCTTTTATTTAAAATATTATTTTAAAAATATGTAGTACAGGCTCGGTGCCCATAGCACAGTGGTTACAGCGCCAGCCACATACACTGAAGGTGGTGGTTTCAAACCTGGCCCAGGCCAGCTAAACAACTCCAACAAAAAATAGCCAGGCATTGTGGCAGGCACCTGTAGTCCCAACTACTTGGGAGGCTGAGGCAAGAGAATCGCTTAGGCTGCTGTGAGCTATGACGCCACAGCACTCTACTGAGGGTGACATAGTGAGACTCTGTCTCAAAAAACATATATATATAGTACATACATGATAGAAATTAAAAGGCTGAAAAGAATAGATAGCAAAAGGCTATCTTTTTGCACTTCTGCCTGGCCTCCCCAAGTACAGCTTTGTTTCCCTCTCAACATAAAGGGCATCTTATTACACACACTGTTCTGCACTGTACTGTTTCACTTCACTCCCTACCACAGAGTTGTCTCTTTCTAATGAGTGTAGAGGACTTCACTGAATGTATACAGCCCGTCTATGGATGTACATTCAGAGTATTTCCATTTTTCTATTATAAACATTGCAATAATGTGTATGTGGTACATAATCATTTCAGTAAAATAAACTCCTATCAGTGGAATTGTTAAGTTAAAGAATATATGTACTTGTAATTTTTGAAGAACGCTAAGCAACTTCTAACAGGATCTACCAATTTATAATTCCACTGTCACTATGTCTGTTACCCTACTGCATCAACTTTTAGTCTATATCTGAAAGGTTGAAAACGGCATTTCAGGCTTGGTGCCTAACTCAGTGGTTAGGGTACTGGTCACATACACCGGGGCTGGCAGGTCTGAATCCGGCCCAGGGCCTGCTAAACAACAACAACAACAACAACAACAACAACAACAAAAATAGCCGGCTCCTGTAGCACAGTGGTTATGGCATTGGCCCATACACCGAGGGGGTGGCAGGTTCGAACCCAGCCCGGGCCAGCTAGACAATAATGACAGCTGCAACAAGAAATGGGCAGGCATTGTGGTGGGTGCCTATGGTCCCAGCTGTTTGGGAGGCTGAAGCAGAATCGCTTGAGCCCAGGAGTTTGGGGTTGCTGTGAGGTGTGATGCTACAGCACTCTGTGGAGGGCGACATATAATGAGCCTCTGGGCACTGTGGCAGGCGCCTACAGTCCCAGCTGAGGCAAGAGAATCACTTAAGCCCAAGAGTTGGAGATTGCTGTGAGCTGTGACGCCACAGCACCCTACTGAGGGTGACATAGTGAGACTGTCTCAATTAAAAAACAAACAGATTTATAGAACAGTCCTTTCATAAAACTCAGTGTTACTTGGTATATGTAAATAAATGTTAGTTTTGTTCAAAACCATAAAAATACGGGCACTTGAAATTTAAAAGAGGAATTTCCTTTATGAACTGAGTACATTTAATGGTATGAGAGGAAAGAAGATCACAAAGAGAGAGTGACCAATAACAAAGTATGATAAAACAGCAATAAGTAGTGCTTTTGACCTTTTCAAACCTATCATACACTTATCTGTATTATGGTCATAACAAAGTAGGCCAGGCAAATATTTTTTCAGGTGTAAGAACAAGCATACAAACTTTCAGTAACCACCAAGTTACAAAATTATAATATCCAGACCTTTCAACCCCTAGTCACATGCTTCATGAAAATGTAAACAAAACACTACAATAACCATTAAAGGTTAGATAGCACTCCTTCCTCCATCCTTCTTCTATGGATCATTTTCAGCCCACAAATATACTAGTTTATTTTCCCCATGAAAACAATACCGTCTTGATTTCCTATCCTGCTTCTCCTTCAAGGGCAAATGCTCCCTTCATAGGCAAGCTCCAGGCAGAGTGCTCCGCAGTGCCTCCCCCAATTTCTCATCTCACTGTCTCTTATCCCTTCAATTGATCTGTCCCTACAGTTCTCCTTAAATTGTTCTACCACACTATTAATCAGGGTCTTGGTCCTCATCTTACTGGATCTATTGGCAGTACTGGGCAGAGCTGATGATGAGTTCTTGATAACTTCCTTCACTTGGCTTTAAGAACATTACATGCACCTGTTTTTCCTCTCTCTGTATCTGCTGTGCTTTTTTT